ATCAATCCCTGTCGGAGGGGCTTCAAAGAGTTCTTAGAAAATGGAATGTAAAAAACAACAGAAGTTTTCCACAAACTTCTGAAGCTTCCTCATAGTTGCACTTGGCTAGATGCTGTTTACAGCAGCACTTTCAGGATAAACAAGTGGACAGAAAGGAATGGCGGCTAGCGGTGGTACTGCTGAGCGGCCGCGGAGTAAAGAGCTACTCCCCACGGTTACCAAGGCAGTAACCTTTCGGAAGCAGCTCTCCGGGCCTGTCTTCCAAGGCACCCCCGAGGGGGCCCAAACCAGCAGCCATATATATATATTCAACCCTCTATGCCACCCAGGGATAAAGGGTGACTTTTTATATTATGCCCTTTTAAATACGTTAGATTTTGGAACGTTGAACCTGGTGACTATTTTATCTATTCAAAACTATGTAAAAGAAACTTAAAATAGTTGAAAAACATTCCTAATTGTCCACAGTCCTAACAGGCAGAGCCATTACACGGATGAGGAAGCCTCCGAAGGAAAAGGACCTGCCCACGGTTGTGGCAGGGTTGGAAGTAAGGCCCAGGCCTTCAGGCAGCTAACCTCACCTTTTTTTACACTCCACATCTGAAGGGACTGGCAGCACCCAGACTCACTTTCTAAGTTCAGCCTGAGTAGCCTGAGTCAAATGAGCCTGCATGGAATAACCTTCTACACCAGACTAGCTGGGCCTAAAGCTGTTTGGAGCTACCTAAAGGTTCTAGTTTCCTGACAAGTTTCCTGAAACTCTTTTGGGTTTCAGTACTTAGTATTGAAAAATCTGCCTAAAATCCAAGTCCATATTCTTCTCTCAGTAAGTAACGACAACTGTATTTTTACTAGCTTCACCAACTTGCAGAGAAACTCAGGGTCACCGCTGTAAACTAACAAGGTGGTCCAGTATAAAAAGGAGCCCTGGGCTTAGAAGCCAGCCAGAGCTCAAGGTCCAATCTTGGTTTGAACAAACCTGTAGGTGAACTTGAGTAAGTCAGTCTTTTCACGTATCTTGGCTTCTATGTAAATAAAAACCAGCCAATCAACAGACATGTATTGAACACCATGTGTCAGGCACTACTCTAGGTGTAGGGATTCACAAGTGCAAAAAGCAAATAGACCACCATACTTCCAAGGCACTTACCTTCCACTTGGGGCCACAGGCAGCAAGGCACTCTCAAGTACTGTTAAGAGTGTAATGGGACAGAGGAACTACGAGGTCGGGGAAGGGCTCTCTGAAGAGGAATATTCATATCAGGACCTTAATGATGAGGAAGCAGCTGTTATAGGAAGAGCTGCATTTGCAGGGGGGCAAATGTAAGGAACCTGAGGCTCACATGAACCTGGCTTTGTGGAAGGGCAGAAGAACTGAGGATGGCTAGAGGGTAGTGATGAGAGGTAAGAGAGGAAGTTGGTGAGAGTCAGGGCCAACCTCTTAGGAGAAGCGAAGTTTAGTTAGGTTTCTGGTTGCACTGAAATCACTCTAGAAATAAGATCACTTAGATCCTGGTTTGAGTGGCAGCTGTGGCATCTCTGTGAGGGGTACTCGGGGCCAGGAGGTCAGCGTCCACCGAGGTCGGAGTTTCTCTGCGGCAGGCGCTGCCTTCATGGAGCTTGGGGAGCTGACGATGCAGCTGCATCCCATGGCTGAGTCTTCTCCTGAGGGTGGGAAGCGGGCCAGATGGAAACAGAGACTGAGGGCTGCCGAGAAGCGAGTGAAGGTGACCTAATCACATCAGCAGTGCCGTCACGGAAGGCAGTGGCTCAGAGAAAGGCCACCGTCAAGTGAAAGGTACAGGAAGACTCAGCATCCCCCTCCCAGCTGAGACACCCAAGCAGGGGCCCAATATGATGGCATCTGATGTTTTGGGGCTTCCTCCAGCAACCCCTCTGTTGAGCAGCTCCCTGAGGCCGGGGGTCACCCCTTAAAAGCAGCAGAAGGCTGATGTGACCTTCAGTGCCCCAACAACTCCACCAAACCAGTGACCTAGTGGTTAATAAAGGGCTAGGAGAAACTCCTCCAGCCAAGAAACTCAACTTCTACCAGGCCTGGCCCTGGATTCTGGCCTTCTCCTGACCTCTGCTGACCCTCCTCTCCTACGGAAGCCTTCCGCTTCTGAGCCCTCTCAATGCTCACCCAGGACCTGTGGATCTTCAGGAACTTGAACGAGGCGGGCCCAAGAGGTGAAAAGGCTGCTAGGGCTGGAGAACTCCACCTTGTTGTCCCTGCAGAGGCATCTGCCCCACCCACACCCACCCCTCTGACCTCCGCCTGATGGACCTGTGTGTGCAGAACAAGAAAACAAAGATCTCTCTCTGCAATAAATAAGTAAATAAATAAGAACTTGGAATTAGCTTTGTGAATTTCATGCTTTTTCATTTCTTAGCCGTGGTACTCTTAGTTTACACGCAGTGGAGCCTCAATATAAAACGACTCGCTCTGGCTGGTGGGAAGCTGGTTAAAACCCTTCTATACGCGGTCTTCCTGGCAGCTGAAGCACAGGAAATTGAAAGCTGGAAAAACATGAGGTGATCTATTGCTAAGGCTCCTTAAGTGCTGATAAAACCCAGTATGACTACACAGCACCACAGGAAGAGGAGAGCTGGGAAACAGTGGGGTGCTTCTTAAGCCCAGGACAGAACCTGGAAAGGTTTTCACCTACATCCTTTTGTGATGCGGACTTGCTTTCTGTAGAAATAGCAAAACCTGGGCAATTAAAGCTGGAGTTAAATTGCTGAGTTACACATATAGAAACCAGTCAGTTAGATGGTGTGGGCTTTATTATGTGTATATTCCCCACAATTAAAAAAAAAGAAAAAGTCACGTCAAAACTAAAAGATAGGAAGAGAGACCAGGGACTTTAGGGCCCAGGGTAAGGAGAGGGAAACAGACTGTGAACAGGAACATGAGACTTTGGGGGTTGATGGAGAATGTTCTACAGCCATTTGTCTTAGGGGTGGTTACATGACTGTACGTCTGTCAACATTTATAGGACAGGGTTTTCTTCCTACTGAGCCATCTTGGCAGCTGCTCCTGGCTGGGGGCCGTCTCACACCTAAGACAGGAAGATGGTGGCCACAAAAATGAGGAAAAGGTGGCTGGAGTGGATCGACTCTAGACTCCGACTGGTTATGAACGGGAAGACATGTGTACTGGGCTACAAGCACATGCTGCAGATGATCAAGCTGCACAAAGCGACCCCAGCCATCTTCACCGCCAACTGAGGAAATGTGCAGTAGGGTCCTACGCCACATTGGCCACCCCTGGAGTCCCATCACCACAGAGGTTTTCCTACTGAGTTGGACACAGCATACAAAAACACAAATGCAGAGAAGACTAAAGAGATGGCTGGGCCCTCCTCAAAACAAGATACTATCCCCTCTGACCACAGTCGAGGGATGTGAATAGCCTTGCTATCAGACAGAGAGCACAATGATGGCCGATGCAGTGACGTTAAAATGTGACGTTAAAACACCCTCATCATTTGATCTCCCTTTCGCCCCATTTTAAAGTTGTTTCCGAATTTTAAATACTTTCTGTTTTTGACTGAGGTTTCCCTGTTTCGTCTTGTCACTGTGGTTGGGTTTTTGTTTGTTGGCTTCCTATTTGTGCTGTGTATGATTTCCTGTATCTGAAATCCAGGCTGGGTAGACTGTAGAGAGTAACTGGATAGGGGCAAGACAAGAAGGTGAATAATCCAATTTTAAAACGGGCAGAGGAAGAAGACTTCCAGGAGGCCAACAACAAACGTATGAAGAAACGCTTCAAGATCACTGGCCATCCAAGATGCACATCAAAACAACGATGAGATGCCACCTTACACTAGCATTGACAGCAAAATTTCAAAAAATAACAACATAGAAAATCATTGCGGGAGAGGATGTGTAGAGATTGGAGCCCTTGTCCACCACTCAGGGGACTATAAAACAGTGCAAGGACTGGAGAAAGCAGGCAGGAGGGCACCGCCTCAAACAACAGGGAATAGAAATGCCATGACCCAGCAAGCCCTAAAGAATATGGAACAAAGCATCGGCTGACATATGCACACTCAGCTTCACTGCGGCCCAACAGCAAGACAGAAACAACCTAAATGCCATCACGGGAAAAACGGATAAACAGACCTGATACATACACACCATGGAATACTGTGCATCACTATAGAATGATGATGAATGCGTGAAGCAACTCACGACGGAAAGATTTGGAGGGCATTGTTGAGTGGAGGTAGTCAATCACAAAAGGATAAACATTGTCTGAGAGCACATATAAAAAGAAAAAAAATCAAGATAAGGATTTTCATACCAAAAGAAACCGACTTTGATGGTTACCAGGTGTGGAAAAGAAAGATGGCAAAGGGAGGGGGGAGCAGATAGGCTAGAAGTAATTAGGCTAGAGAGTCAACAGGTGTTAACTTGGGTGAAGCTAGTACCTTACCAAAAGGGGGAGGAAAGGGGGAGGTCCAGGGCAAGCTATTGGGAGGCTAGATAAATGAAGTTGTTGAATACAAAAATGATCATCTGAAATATAAGCCCTGAAATCACAATAAAAAGCTTTAAAAAAAATTAGTTTCAGAAACCCTATACAGGGTCGCTGAGTCAGAATCCAACCAGATGGCAGCAGGTTTTCTGGTTTTGTACACTCACAATGGGTGGAATTTTACTGTGGGTAAATTGAGCCTCAATAAACCTAAGTTTTGAAAACTCACATTACTGGAACACACTTCCGAGGGCTTTTACAGAGAGGAAAGCTGATACTCGTACTGAGTCAGCAGACCCCAGAAATCCTGACCTGAAAGGCCAGGTTCCCCGGCTCCCTGCTGCTCACTATTAACTCAGGTGGATGTGGCGGAGCCTTGAAGAGGTGCACTAGGCTTCCCGTTTCCCTCACTGCAAAATGCGTGGTAAACAATGACAAAAGCTATCCCATGTCCTCCTCCAAATGGGGGAAAGAAGAGACCTCATGGCGTTGAGTCCAAAAGAAAAACACGTCTCACCTCTGTGCACACGGTTGATGACAGACCCTGCAGTGCACATCTGTAAGGTGGCTGACACACAACACAGGCTGTGATGAAGGGCAGCCACTCTATACGAAGTCTGACCAGGCCCACCTCCGGTGCCTGTCCTCTCTGCGCCGGGTCTCAATGGACTCCTAGGAGCAATCTGGATGGGGGTGGCCCTAGGCAAAGAAATAACTAACTGCCCTGCCCTCCATTGCATCACCTGTGCTTGGGTAAGCAATTACACCCTGAGCTCTGCTGGGCACAAGTTGTTATCTTACCAGGTAAACAAGAACCCTCTGCCCTCCCTGACCACCCTCAGCAGAGGGCTGCCACCCTCGGGGAGTGAGCAGAGGGCTTATGAGAACACGGCTGGTCTGTAGGGCTCTATTTTAACACTCCACTTCCCCTGCCACCATGCTGGCAGCACCGGAGTCCCACAAACTCCTCCTCCAGGGACACACTCCACGCATGCCCTTCCCATAACCGCCTGTTTCAAGGGGATAGTCCTCAGGAACTCGGAGCTCCTGCCTGCAGCTTGCTTTCTCCTGGTCCAAGGAGACCCCAAATCACACAGAAACCGGGACCCTGGAAAACGCTCCTCAAAAGTCTGATGCCTAAGCCACCTCTTCTCCAGAGAGGCAGGGAGGCCAAGCCTTACAGACTCTTGATTTCCTCTTTCTGCACGGTGGGGCAGGAGGGAGGCCACACCCAGCAATGCCCCCCCCAATGTTACTGAAACAAAGACCACCAGCTAAGGATCCTGCCCAAAGACCATACTTTGCAGGCCACCATACTTTGCAGGCCGACAGCAGGCAAGAGCCAGACTAGCGGCCAGCTGGGTGAGCTCTGGTCAGGGGCTCAACAGATGCCAACTGCCCTGGCTCCGCTTCCCGACCGCACATTTCGGAGTTTCCTCTCCCCAGCTGCGAGGCGCGGAGACGGCACCTGCTCTGGGCCCCTGAATGGAAACCACGCGGGGCCGCGACGACGTGTTGTACAGCGCCCACGACGCCCGTCGGGGCGGACGGCGAACAAGCGCGGGCGCTGCCCTGGCACCTGGGTAGGATGATGCCTTAATCACAAGCGTCAGCGAGGGAACCATTCCCAGGGCGGTGCACCAGCACACTGCAGCTCCGCCGCGCGGGCTCCACGAGGAGGCCCCGGCGAACACGGACCTGCCTCATCCTCACCTTCCGGCACCGGCGAGGTTCT